CAAAAAAACGCTAAGAAACGCTTTGGAAATACTCGAGAAGGAGAAGAAAAAGATTGAGGAGTTTCCAGAATTGGAGTTTGATGATAGGATAAAGAGATTAAGACAAGCTTATTTCAAGGCTAAGCATAAGATGAAGAGAAGAACATGTGTAATGTCTAAGTTGATCACATCATCGTCTTCGTATGTTTCGGGTTTGAGTGATGATGATAGGTACTCGATGGTCGTGCATGAAGAGGTAAGAGAAGAAGATGATGAAGAGGTGAAGTATCTCTTGTGTGGTTTTTCTCATGATGGTTTTATTAGTTTGTTGTGAGTATGTTTGTGTAATGTATAGGACTCTAATTACAACAGGCCCTTGGCTCGTTAACATTGAATTATTACTATTTCATCCCCAAAAAAAAAAAAACATTGACTTATTACTAAATTTTGATAGAAGATAATTAATTTAAACAAAACCAGGATTTGATACAAAAAAAAATATAGAGAGTAACATTTATAGATTTTGGAATGCAAATAATCAGGAGATTCTAAATCAAAATTCAGACTAATTTGTGAGATATTTTGAAAAAAATCATATTGCCAACTAAAATATACTCCCCATGTAGTATATTTTTTGATATTTGACATACCATTTTAATTTTAGTGATTGAGCTCTCATTCCAAACAAAAACTATTGATCAACTTTGTACTACTGGAATTATTCAATTTATAAATACATCAATGAAAGCCTAATGATTATACTCATCTTATTCCATAGTCTGATTATTTCGATTTTGATCGTAACGTAAGTGGCCTAGTTTTCTACCTTGCTGGAGGATTTCAAAGATCAGTATGGTAATTTTCGGAAATGCCATTATAATTTTTTTTTTATTTTTAAAAATACTACTTATTAGAAAAAAATTAAACTCTAAATCTAAAGATTCTAAAGTTTATTAAAAAATAATGACCTAACAAATTTTAAAATAAAATAGTTAATTCAAACATAAATGATATTTTAAATAAATGTTGTATTTTAATGATTTTTTTGAAAAAATTATTAAAAATAGCAGTTTTAGAAAAATAACAATTTAAAAATAGTATTTTACGTTATTATTACAATCTCCCATGGTTAAATATTTCTTTTCTCTATACGGACTTTTTGATCCATTAGCGAGTAAGGCTTTACTTAGTAAAACATCGTTAAATTTACAAAGAAGTATCATATTCAAAATATGGCGCATATATATGGTTATGTAATAATTATATTATGTAATAATTAAATGAAAAGTTCTGTATGACTTTTTAATTTCATTTTGAAATGAATGTATTTGTTTGACGGAATAAGAAAAACATTTCTTTTCTCCAACTATAATCATTCGTTCAATTAAATTTTTAATTAAAAATGGGGCATAAGCCCAAATTTCAGTTTATCTAACATAATATTATAGAAAGGAAATTTTCCTTTTTTTCCTTTTCCTTTTCTGTAAGCGAAAAAAAAAAGCGAGGGACTCTGTGACACTGTATATATATACAGTATATTATAAACCAAGAGAGAAATATTGTAGCAACCTTCTTCCGTGGAGTCGATAATTAGTGTTTGAGTATAAGCAGTCATGGAAATCGGGTTAGACTACGAAATCGATCACGACCCTGAACCAGACGATGTTGGAACAATCAGAGTCACTGCAAGAATCTTTGGTAAATCTGAAACATTCACGGCTTCGACTCCTGCCAAAGAATTCATCGATGACGAAGTGTGTCGTAGTAAAGAAGAATTGAATTATTTCCTGATCGATGCAGGAGTCAACGATTCTGATATTTTTGATGTGATATCAAAACTAATTTTCCGTGTTGATGACATAACTTGTTCCACAAGTAACGAGTATTCTCCTGAATGTGCTTTGGAAGTGAAGTTGGATCTTTTTCCTGATGATCTCGATGACGATCAGGAGGGCACTCAGATTGAAGAAGCGGTTCAAGTCTCGTTCGACCAAACCAGTAATATCCGGTTTAGACCCGCAAACAAGCTCGTGGTCAAGTCCTTAATT